GCTCTCTTTTAAACACTGCTTCACTACTCTCTTAACCTCTCTTTTTTCTCCATATACTCTTCCCTCCTTGTATCACTTCTACTTTGAAAAAACTTCTCATATGCTAACTTTTTCTCCCTTACTACTCTCTTTGCATCATAAATTCCACCAATCGCTCCTTTTCCCTCCTGCACCCACCTTCCTGTAACCACAAACTTCTGCTGAACACTCCAACACTACATTTTTAAACCTACCCCATACCTCTTCGACCCCATTGCCTATGCTCTCATTAGCCCATCTATCCTCCAATAGCTGTTTATATCTTACCCTAACTGCTTCCTCTTTTAGTTTATAAACCTTCACCTCTCTCTTCCCTGATGCTTCTATTCTCCTTGTATCCCATCTACCTTTTACTCTCAGTGTAGCTACAACTAAAAAGTGATCTGATATATCTGTGGCCCCTCTATAAACATGTACATCCTTAAGTCTACTCAACAGTCTTTTATCTACCAATACATAATCCAACAAACTACTGTCATTTTGCCCTACATCATATCATGTATACTTATTTATCCTCTTTTCCCTAAAATATGTATTACCTATAACTAAACCCCTTTCTATACAAAGTTCAATCAAAGGGCTCCCATTATCATTTACACCTGGCACTCCAAACTTACCTACCACACCCTCTCTAAAAGTTTTTCCTACTTTAGCATTCAGGTCACCTACCACAATTACTCTCTCACTTGGTTCAAAGGCTCCTATACATTCACTTAACATCTCCCAAAATCTCTCTCTCTTCCTCTACATTCCTCTCTTCTCCAGGTGCATACACACTTATTATGACCCACTTTTTCGCATCCAACCTTTACTTTAATCCACATAATTCTTGAATTTACACATTCATATTTCTCTTTTCTCCTTCCAAAAACTGATCCCTCAACATTACTGCTACCCCTTCCTTTCTCTAACTCTCTCAGATACTCCAGATTTAATCCCATTTATTTCCCCCTACCGAAACTCCCCTACCCCCTTCAGCTTTGTTTTGCTTAGGGCCAGGACATCCAACTTCTTTTCATTCATAACATCAGCAATCATCTGTTTCTTGTCATCCGCACTACATCCACGCACATTCAAGCATCCCAGTTTTATGAAGTTTTTCTTCTTCTCTTTTTTTAGTAAATGTCTACAGGAGAAGGGGTTACTAGCCCATTGCTCCCGGCATTTTAGTCGCCTCATACGACATGCATGGCTTACTGAGGAAAGATTCTTTTTCACTTCCCCATGGACAATAGAAGAAATAAAGAAGAACAAGAGCTATTTAGAAAAAGGAGCAAAACCTAGATGTATGTATGTATGTATCTGTGTGTGTGTGTGTATATATATAATATATATAATATATTATATATATATATATATATATATATATATATATATGCATGTGTGTGTCTGTGAAGTGTGACCAAAGTGTAAGTAGGAGTAGCAAGATATCCCAGCAATCCTACCATCATGCAAAACAGTTACAGGTTTCTGTTTCACAGTCATCTGGCAGGATGGTAGTACTTCCCTGGGTGGTTGCTGTCTACCAACCTACTGAGGTCAACCATAGAATTGATGAGGAAAAGGGCGAGTATTGCACTTAGGAGTCTGTGGCGACAAAGAACTTTGTCCATGGAAGCAACGAGGGGAATGTATGAGAGTATAGTTTTACCAACGCTCTTATATGGGTGTGAAGCATGGGTGATTTATGTTGCAGCGAGGAGAAGGCTGGAGGCAGTGGATATGTCGTTTCTGAGGACAATGTGTGGTGTGAATACAATGCAGAGAATTCGTAGTTTGGAAATTAGGAGGAGGTGCGGAATTACCAAAACTATTATCCAGAGGGCTGAGGAAGGGTTGTTGAGGTGGTTCAGACATGTAAAGGAAATTGAACGAAATACAATGACTTCGAGAGTGTATAAATCTGTAGTGGAGGGAAGGTGGGGTAGGGGTCGGCCTAGGAAAGGTAGGAGGGAGGTGGTAAAGAAGGTTTTGTGTGCAAGGGGCTTAGACTTCCAGCAAGCATGCATGACTGTATTTGACAGGAGTGAATGGAGATGAATGGCTTTTAATACATAAGAACATAAGAAAGGAGGATCACTGCAGCAGGCCCGTTGGCCCATACTAGGCAGGTCCTTTAAAATCCATCCCACTAACAAAACATTTGCCCAACCCAATCTTCAATGCTACCCAAGAAAAAAGCTCTGGTAACTCTATTCACTCATTTGCAAGTCCCACTCAAATCCAACCCCTCTCACTCATGCATTTATCCAACCTAAATTTGAAACTACCCAAGGTCTTAACCTCAATAACCCAACTAGGTAGACTGTTCCATTCATCAACTACCCTATTTCCAAACCAATATTTTCCTATGTCCTTTCTAAATCTAAACTTGTCTAATTTAAATCAATTACTGCAGGTTCTCTCTTGGAGAGATATCCTCAAGACCTTATTAATGTCCCCTTTATTAATACTCATCTTCCACTTATACACCTCGATCATATCTCTCCTCATTCTTCGTCTAACAAGTGAATGTAATTTAAGAGTCTTCAATCTTTCTTCATAAGGAAGATTTCTAATGCCATGTATTAATTTAGTCATTCTATGCTGAATGTTTTCTAACAAATTTATATCCATTCTGTAATATGGAGACCAGAACTGAGCTGCGTAATCTAGGTGAGGCCCCACTAATGATGTATAAAGCTGCAGTATAACCGCTAAACTTCCGCTGCTTACACTTCTTGATATAAATCCCAGTAATCTGTTTGCCTTATTACGTACGCCAAGGCATTGCTGTCTTGGCTTAAGGTTGCTGCTCACCATAACCCCCAAGTCCTTTTCACAATCTGCATGGCCTAGTACTACATTATTTAATTTATAAGTATGTACTAGGGTTGTAGACACTCCAGAGCTTCAGAACCTTGCATTTATTTACATTGAACTGCATCTGCCACTTTTCTGACCAGGTATTGAGTTTGTCTAAATCCTCCTGAAGTTCCCTTATATCTACGTTTGAATCAATTATCCTACCTATCTTTGTGTCATCGGCGAATTTGCTCATATCGCTAATAATTCCCTCATCAAGATCATTGATATATATTATAAACAACAACGGGCCCTGTGAAACGCCACTTGTTACAGATCCCCAACTGGATTTAACCCCATTTATGGACACACACTGCTTCCTGTCTGTGAGCCATGATTCGATCCATGAGAGCACTTTTCCCTGAATGCAATGAGCTGCCACTTTCTTTAACAGTCTTTAGTGCAGAACTCTATCAAAAGTCTTACTAAAATCCAAGTAAATAATATCATATTCTTTATCATGATCAACAGCCTCAAAAGCTTTACTGAAATAAGTTAATAAATTAGTTAGACAAGAACGGCCTCTCGTGAATCCATGCTGAGTATCATTAATCAGATTATGCTTATCCAGATGGCTTCTTATAATTTCAGCTATAATTGACTCGAGTAATTTGCCTACAATTGAGGTCAGGCTTATTGGGCGGTAATTTGACGGTAACGACTTATCCCGATTTAAAAATAGGAATTACATTAGCCATCTTCCACATATCAGACACTATACCTGTTTGAAGAGATAAATTAAAAATATTAGTTAATGGTTCACAGAGTTCCATTTTACATTCCTTAAGAACCCTTGAAAAAAGCTCATCAGGTCCTGGCGATTTATTTTGTTTCAGTCTATCTATTTGTTTCATAACCATTTCACTAGTGACTGTGATGTTTCATAATTTATCTTCTTCAGGCCCACTATCAAAATTAATTACTGGTATATTGTTAGTGTCTTCCTGTGTAATCAGGTAATCAGTCCCTCATCCTGCAGTTGATGTACTTGACGTACTGTTGTAGTGTGAGCAAAGTAACACTTATGAAAGGATTCAGGGAAACCGGCAGGCCGGACTTGAGTCCTGGAGATGGGAAGTACAGTGTCTGCACTCTGAAAGAGGGGTGTTAATGTTGCAGTTTTATAAACTGTAGTGTAAAGCACCCCTCTGGCAAGACGGTGATGGAGTGAATGATGATGAAAGTTTTTCTTTGTTAATAATATAAAAAATAATTGCAGAATGGATATACATAAATGCTCTGGAAAACGTACAAAGGAGGATGACTAAGCTGATCCCATGTATCAGAAATCTTTCCTATGAGGATAGAGTGAGAGCCCTGAATCTGCACTCTCTAGAAAGGTGTAGAATTAGGGGGGATGTGACCGAGGTGTATATATGGAAAAAATGAATAAATAAAGGTTGGAGGCAGTGGAGATGTCCTGTCTAAGGGCAATGTGTGGTGTAAATATTGTGCAGAAAATTCGGAGTGTGGAAATTAGGAGGTGTGGAGTTAATAACAGTATTAGTCAGAGGGCTGAAGAGGGGTTGTTGAGGTGGTTTGGTTATTTAGAGAGAATGGATCAAAGTACAATGACATGGAGAGCATATAAATCTGTAGGGAAAGGAAGGCGGGGTAGGGGTTCTCCTCAAAAAGTTGGAGGGGGGTAAAAGTTTTGTGAGTGAGGGGCTTGAGTTTCCAGCAAGCGTGCATGAGTGTGTTAGATAGGAGTGAATGGAGACGAATGATATTTGGGACCTGACGAGCTGTTGGAGTGAGAGCAGGGTAATATTTAGTGAAGGGATTCAGGGAAACTGGTTATTTTTATATAGCCGGACTTAGTCCTGGAAATGGGAAGTACAATGCCTACACTTTAAAGGAGGGGTTTGGGATACTGGGAGTTTGGGGTTATATGTTGTGTATCTTTATATGTATATGCTTCTAATCTGTTGTATTCTGAGCATCTCTGCAAAAACAGTGATTATGTGTGAGTGAGGTGAAAGCATTGAATGATGAAAGTATTTTCCTTTTGGGGATTTTCTTTCTTTTTGGGTCACCCTGCTTCGGAGGGAGACGGCCAGTTCATTGAAAAAAAAATTATGCAGGATTGTAATGAAGAACTGAACAGATAATTTTACCTTTTAGCCTTTAAAGCTTCTGGACTAAAATCCTCTACTTCATCATCCCCTGCAATTTGTTTTGCCGTCCTAAGCAACTTCTTTTCTTCCTTGCGTGCTTGTTTAAGAAACTGCTTCTCTGTTTCATTCATAACAGTCACTTGATTACCAAACACTGGGTGCTCTGGTATTCCTCTATTTTCAAGGTCACCTAAAAATATGTACAATAAGAGGATTCTTAAGATATCTTAGTATCAACAGAATGATTATATTTGGGAGAAGTACTAAATATATAGGAGTCATATAGCACCTGGAGAATGAGAGGTAATCAGATTCAATCTAAAAAATAAAAGCCAAGTCCAATTCCTTGGATCAAAAGCCCATCAATAAAAATTGAAACCATGTAGTAATATAAAAAATATAGTACTGAACATGAAAACAACTCTCAAAGATACTGATAAACAGATACAACACTTACTTAGCAACTGTGCAATTTTTGCATCTTTATCAGGTGGAGGATTCTTGATCTGTGACCTGTGCTCAAGCAATGTCTGGATAAGTTCAAACCTTTCAAAGCCTAGGAGGTCAAACATCTGCAAGTGAAAAGTTACTAATATCAAGCCTAAAAATTTTACAGCTAATCTATTTTCTTTACTTAAAAAAAGGGATATGTTTCAGAGAATAGGTGAGCTACTCTAGCACTGCAATTCAATAAAAAATTAATAATTTTGATCACCTGAATTATAAATTATAATCATATGTCATTCCACATCTGTTTTTCAAATTAACTCTATCCTCATATTTCCAATCACACTCTTCACCATGATGCCAAGTATGGGGCTCACTCTCTCAAATCTTGAAGGACTTCAGGGAGAATATTACAGTACAGTGGACCCTCAGTTAACGATGCCATCATATACCGATATGTTTTTGCATCAAAATACTGGCTCTGCTAACGACGAAAAACTCGGTTAAGGATATTCGTCCTGAATGTATCCGCGCGGCCTGAGTCCATGTACAGGTATAGTGTGCCATTGTTTACAAGCCAGTGAGGACAATTCCACATATACATGCGATATATTTTGTATTATTCCATTGTTTTTATTGCTTGTAACTGCTAAATAAGCCACCATGGGCCAGTCCTGTGGTAAAGGAGGAAAGAAGGACAATAGAATTCAAGAAAAAACTTGTAGCAAAGTACCAAAGTGGAGGAGGAAGAGAGGGGAGAATGTGCCTTCTGCAGTGATTCAGTGATTCTACAATATGTATGATACTAAAGCAGCAGGTATCAATAAAGGATATAGTGCCAGCCAGTGATAAAGTGTAGAATTAACAGTGCAGCAAGTAAGTTAAGCAAGTAAGCGATAGAGAAAGACACAAAAGTAACTCTCCAATGTTGTTGGATGTGTATAGGGCTGCTGAACATACGCCAGCCTGTTACATATCTTCCACCACCCTAAACCTCTGCCAGCATCTCCTCCATCAAACTAACTAATTAAACTACCATCTCCTCCAAGGTAAGTGTATATATAAAAGTGTAAGCATAAAAGTAAATATAAGTGTAAATAGAAAAGGACCCCAATGAAAACAAGTCACTGACTTTTTTGGGTTATCCTAGGTATGTATGATAATCTATGTACGTAACTGTATTTGCGTATTCTTGAATAAACTTAATTGTTTATAAATTAAAATGTAAATATTTCTTATTTATAAATTACATACAATGTTTCAGTGTGAACAGTGGTGGTGGGTTCTGCTGGTGCGTCCACCACCACCACTACGTATGACTTCTCTCAGTGGCCCTTATAAACCCAACAACAACACTTCCACCACTTACTCCTCACATACATTATATGGCATTTCATTCATTCTAGAGTATATATCATGTTTCTATGTTATTAACATTGTTTTTATGTCATATTAGATGAACTGTGATAGATGAATAAGCTGTAGAGATGATATTAGCATCACATTGAAGCATAATAAACTCGCCTTCCTCTTGCCTCCTACTTGTCTTCCATACACCAACAAGAGTCAATAAAGGTAAGTGTGATATTAACCCTTTGACTGTTTACGCCGTATAAATACGTCTTATGCGCCACTGTTTCTGACATATTTATACGCACAAATTCTAGCGGCTTCAAATCAAGCGGGAAAGGCCTGGTAGGCCTACATGAGAGAGAATGGGTCTCAGTGGTCGGTGTGCACCCTGTGAAAAAAATCTGGGACCCAGCGGTGCATTGTTAGTCCATTTTCACCATGCCTCTCGGTAAGAAGTTCCTCACTCCTCGACGAATTGGAGGTCTTTTGTTCCCAAGTGATAGCTCTAACAGCGATGAAAATGTCAGTGACAGTGAATTCCAGGGTTTTGAAGTGAGTGTGACTGGAAAAAGTGCCCAGGATAACATAATTAGTAATGAAAACCCAGATGACCCACAACCTTCCACCTCTGGTGCTGGGCCGGCTTGTTCACGTTCACGTTCACCTGTACCAGGACGAGAGAGGAAACTATTTGGTCGTGTATAACACCCAGATGTTAGTAGTGATAATGATAGTGATTTCAAGGTCATTGAGAGCAGTTCTAGTGACAGTGAGGGTGAATATTCCCCAGTGAAGCGGCAGTATGTACGACATAGCATGCGGTCTGGTAGTGTTTCATATGCTGTTGCAAGGGGAAGGAGAAACTCTGGGAGCACATCCCGTGGCCCTACACCACGACCTGATAGTGAAGATGACGATATTGTTAAGATGGGTATGAATGATGTGAGTGAGGGAGCAGGCAGTGGTGGTGATAGTGATGGTGGCACGGCCCATGTGGCACCAGCAGCAGGCCACGCTACTACCCACGATGCTGACTCTGCACAACAACCAGCCTCACCCGACCCTACACTCCCACAACATGCACAACCACAACCTGCACAATCACAACCACGGTACAATATCCAGAACCCACCAGCAGACCGCATCTGGGATTGGCAGGAAGGTGACGAGTTTGTTCCCAGTCCCCATGACTTTGATGAAACACAAAGTGGAATAAAGCCATCATGTCCACTTGGGAACAATGCTAGTGAACTGGACTGCTTTGAGTTATTCTTCGATGAACCCCTGATGGACATCACTGTCAGGGAAACAAACACATACTATGATTACACCATGGCAAATACAATTCTCTCACCAAAATCACGGCTACACCAGTGGAAGGAGACAACTGTGGCAGAGATGTACCTGTTTTTTGCCATAATAATGCTTATGCCACATGTGTATAAGCACACTGTCACCACATACTGGGCAACAGAACGCCTGATTCCAACTCCAGGTTTTAGTGATATTATAGGTGTCAATCGTTTTCTGATACTGTTATGTACGTTACACTTTTCAGACAAAACCAGGCCTGACAGAACCGACAGGTTACATAAGATCAGAAATGTGTTTATGTACCTGAAACAAAAGTGCTGCATGCATTTTTATCCCTTCAGGAAGCTTGTTATTGATGAGTCCTTGATTTTATTCTAAGGAAGACTTTCATTCAAGCAATATATACCAAGCAAGAGGAAACGCTTTGGTATAAAGTTATTTGTACTGTGTGATTGCAGAAGTGGTCTAGTTTTAGATATCATTGTGTACACTGGCAGTAATACTTTGAGAGATATCATGAAGTTATTGGGTATCTCTGGTGATGTGGTCGAACAATGATGGAACCATATCTTGGTAAGGGGCATATGTTATTTACTGATAACTGGTACAAAAGCCCCTTACTCAGTGATTTCTTGCGAGTGAACTTGACAGACGTGTGTGGCACAGTGCGTGGTAATCGTAAACATATGCCAAGGTTCGACGCTGGCACTCGCAGAGGTGAGGTGCAAGCCTTTGCTGCCAATGACATCATGGCATTTCGGTGGCATGACAAACGTGATGTCACATTGTTGACATCAGTTCACCCAAACGAAATGGCACACAGTGGCAGGCACAACAGAGAGACCAATGAACCCATTCTAAAGCCTGCAGCTGTCATGGACTACAACCTCAATATGCGCTTAGTGGACAAATGTGACATGCAGATTGGGTATGCAAGAGTTATAAGTGATATATAAAACTTTTTTTCCATCTTGTTGATATCTCTATGCTAAATGCTTATAACATATACAAGTTGAAGACCAACAAAACACCAAAATATGGTGAATTTTGTTTGTCAGTAATCAGACAAATAATCGCAAAGTACCAAGGAGCAACACCTGCAATAGACCAGCGCCCACGAAATTACCAACACACGTCATCTCGTTTCAGGCCTGGTGATCACTTCCCCATACAACTGCCTCCTACTACTGCCAAGAAAAATGCTCAGAAGAGGTGTTATGTATGTATGCATACCACAAAACGCCCACAAACACGCAGAGACACTCGTTTTATGTGTGAGGAGTGTGAAGTGCCCCTCTGCATATACCCATGTTTCAAAGAGTTCCACAAGCTGCAGCAGTTCTAGGAACGTGTTCAGTGACTGTACATATGTATATATATTATGGAACAATAGTAATAAACATTGTTTTGTATTGTTTGTTTGTGTAAACAAAGTATATACACAAACTAATAGTGATAAAGTTTGTTCTGTTATTGTGTTGTAAACAATGAGTGTATATTTGAACAATGCACCTTACATTGGTCTCACAGGCCACATAAGTTACTTGGAAAAGAAAAATATTGAAAAATGCAAGAAACTTTTGAATTATAGTAAATAAAAGAATACATGGTGGGCGGCAGTCGCCACTGTTACCGTACGCACGTCACTTTCTGCAAACTTTGTGGCCCTATATGTTGGTAAGTACTGATGGCAAAAAAAATTTTTTTTAGGCTTAAAACACTCAGAAAAATATTCCTAACATTTTCACAAGAAAAAATAATTTTTTTTTTTTTTTTTCAAATATTTTGCGACAGACAATGACAGTTTCAGAAAGGGGCCTGCGACAGTCAAAGGGTTAAATGTTCATTTATCCATTTTATTAGTGCTTTATATTTATTTGTCTTTGTTTTCTGTATGTATATCCATACTTAATCTTTAAAAAAAATATGTTTTGTTAATACTTTTGGGTGTCTGAAACGGATTAATTGGATTTTCATTATTTCTTAAAGGGGAAAATTAATTTGGATAACTATAAAATCGGTTAAGGACAAGCTCTCTGGAACGGATTAATATCATTAACTGAGGGTCCACTGTATATATGTGGTGAGAGTAGCGACTCTCATTGCTGAGGTCCAGGTAATAAACCCTGGGCATTAACATAAAAAAATTTGGACCTTAAAGACGAACCACTGGCCTCCACGTGGCAAGGTCTAGTACCTCAGAGATAACTCTGAGGCTGACAGTGGTCACAAATAATCTTTATTTAGGTAGTAGATTGGTAGACAGCAACCACCCAGGGAGGTACTGCTGTCCTGCCAAGTGAGTGTAAAACAAAAGCCTGTAATTGTTTTACATGATGGTAGGATTGCTGGTGTCTTTTGTCTGTCTCATAAATATGCAAGATTACAGGTATGTCTTGCTACTTCTACTTACACTTAGGTCACACTACACATACATGTACACATTTATTTATACACACTCATCTGAGTTTTCTTTGATTTTA